CTTAACACCCCTTGCTTGGCCAGAGAACCAGCCATTGCAATTGCTGACCTGCTGACCCACTGAAACGTGACAATCATATTTCTTGTCATCCATTTAACTTTCTTTAACAGGTCCTTATAGCCCCAACAAGCTGTATTTGGGCTATTCAGCCAGCCCACTACTACCTTGGAATCCCCTTCTACTAACAAATTGTTCACTCCAATTTGACTAGCCATCTGTATACCTTGTACCGCTGCTAGTAACTCTGCCCTTACAGAATMACCTTCACCCACTGGTCCTGAAAAAAGAGACAACACATTGCTGTCTTTTCTCTCTGAATCCCACCAATTCTGGATGGCCCTGGGTTACCTTGGCAGCTGCCATCAAAATTCAATTTTACCACTCCATCCGGTGGGGGTTTCCATTTAACTTGTGATTTGTTCTTGGTAGATACTGTAGAAGCCACTGCTTCCCAGTTTCTCCTTAAGTCATCAAAGGAGAAATCTACCAACAATTGTGAAGATTTCAAATGTCCTTGTCAATATGCATTCCTTGAATTCAACAAGACTTCTTTCCTTTTCTTTAAATATTCTAGCATTTCTCTCCTCCCATAAAATCCACAAAGTAGCGGCTCTGATACATTTCCACATTAGCTTCCCTCTTTTTGTCAATCTCCCAAGAACAGTCAGAGTGAACAGCAACTTTACTTCAGAGGGCAAGTTCCTCCAGCATAGGGGTGGCCACGAGACGAGCTACTCGAGCTTGGCTTGTGAAAAGCTCGGCTCAGCTCAACTTCAATCGAGCTTCGAGCCGAGCTCGAGCCCAATTTACAAGCTCGATTAATAAACGAGTCGCGCTCAAGCCTAATAGAGCTCGGCTCCCGAGCCGAGCTCGAATATATATATATATATATAAGAGAGAGAGAGAGAGAGAAAATAACATATATAATAAAAATGTTATAATTCTTAATTTTTTAAATATCAAATAAAAATATTTTTATATATAATTTTTTATTTTTATAAAACATTTTTTTCTCAAATCGAGCTCAAGCTTACGAGTTTTTGACTCAAGCCGAGCTCGAGCCTCGTACTATTCGGCTCAACTCGGCTCGAATCCACCCCAGTCCTGCACCCAAATAAGGAAACAACCCAATTCCAAATATTGGCAACAAAGGAGCGTGATATCAGCAAATGGTTACAGTCCCCACCCTTCACTTTACACATAAAGCACCAATTTGGGGACAGACACATAAAAGGTTTCTTTTTTTTGATAATTGACACATAAAAGGTTTCTTCTTTTGCAAGTTTTCCACAATATTGATCTTACCATAATAGGCATCCCAACAGAACACTGCTATTTTGGGGGATATTTGCCTTAACCAAACCTCTTTAACAAGGAAGACTTGAAAGGAAGGGTTAGAGCAAAGGGCTTTAAAGAAAGATGCACAAGTGAAGGAGCCAACCAGGGTTAGGGCCCAGACTCTTTTATCCGGGTTAGTGGGGTCCAAACACACCAAATCTAGAAGCAATAATAGCTCTGAAACACAATGAAATTCTTCATCCCTTAACCCTCTTTGAACAATCTTATGGTATTGATTACTAGGAAACCTTTGCTCCTATAACCAAGATGAACTCAACTCTAATGATTACGACTATAGTTGCCCACTATTCTTTTCCCTTGTATAAAATGGATGTTAAGAATGCCTTCTTTAATGGTGACCTTCAGGAAGATGTTTACATGGATCTTCCTCTAGGAGTGAACATCCCAAGAAGTGAAGGAAAGGTTTGCTGCTTGAAGAAATCCCTTTATGGCCTTAAATTGTCACCTAGAGTTTGGTTTAACAGATTTAGAAAGGCAATCTTGAAAATTGGCTTCATGCAATCTCAAGCTAACCATACCTTGTTCAGAAGGAGAGTCAATGGCCATGTGACTATGTTGATAGTATATGTCGATGATATTGTTATCGTAGGGGATGATTTCTCAGGTTTTGTTGAATTTAAGTCTTTCTTTGCTATTAAATTTGAAATTAAGGATCTTGGAAATCTCTGGTACTTCCATGTAGGGATGGCAATTTTCCCCATCCCCAACGGGGACCCAACTTCCCCCATTGGGGAATTATTTTAGCGGGGTGGGGATGAAGACGGGGATTAATAGGAATCCCCGATTGGGGTCGGGGTTGGGGATGGGGATTGAGGTCCCCGCCCCGCCCCAACCCCGATTATGTGTATATATATATATAATTTTTATTATATATCAAAACATATTTAAAAAATATTTGTAATTTAAAATTTTTATTTATTGTAAGTAAATTTATTTTTCAAATAAATGTCGTTATCTAAAAAATTTCGGGGATTCGGGTCCTCGCGGGGAACCCATCCCCGTCGGGGATCGGGGATGGAGGACAATTTTTATCCTCGGCGGGGATCGGGGACAGGGACAGGGTTAATTTCATAATCGGGGTTGGGGACGGGGAATATGACCCTCGCCCCAAACTCGCCCCGTTGCAATTCCTATTCCTAGGGATTGAGGTTGCAACATCAAAAAGGGTATACATATTTCTCAAAGGAAGTATGTTCTTGATTTGTTTCAAGAAATAGGAAGATTGGATTGTAAAAAAGCTGAAATTCCAATTGATCACAATCATAAGTTGGGAGTTGATGATGGAGATGTTCTTCCTAAAAAAGGTGTGTATCAGAGACTTGTTGATCACCTTCTCTACTTATGTTTGACTAGAACTGATATACCATAGGCTGTGAGTGTGGTCAGTCAATATATGCATAAGCCCAAATCTTCTCATATACAAGTAGTGAATACAATACTTGCCTATTTGAAGGGGTGTCCAGGAAAAGGAATGTGGTATTCTGATCATGGGCATCTCAAAGGTGAGGCCTACACTGATGTTGATTGGAGAAGTAAGAAGCAATCTGTTGTGGCTTGATCTAGTGTAGAGAAAGAGTACAAAACTATGGCTCATGGAATTTTTGAATTGTCATAGTTGGTTTTCCGCTAACTAGCTCCATTTTAGTAATTCTATTGGCATTTTTTACTATCTAGTTGTTTGACATGGTTGATTCTTCAGTTCAGTGATTGTGATTGGCCTTTTGATGGCTAACTTCAACTCTTTAGCTTGAGTTTGGTAATCACTAGATCATGATTTGGCTCTACTTTGTCTTTCCGGCACAAGTTCATATCACTTTATTACCTGATGGTTCAGGGTTACCAAAGGAACTCCCATCAAAGTTCAATTTAATTCTGTTATTACTCAGTGGAGCCCATTGTTCTTGTGTTTTGATCCTCAACGTAGGGAAAGTTGCTATCAAATGTCAGCCTCTAATCATGTCATCCACATTATAACCCTTAAAGATCTCCATTGTTTTGACCCAATCAATTGCTTCAAAGAAATCCTTTCTAGTTTCTATTAGGGCATCCCAAGACCTGTGTTGCTCCTTGAACAGTCTATTGTTTCTCACCTCCTATACTCTCCAAATAATTTGCAGCATCTTAAGGTAGCATCCACTTGCATCCAAAGAGAGAGTAGAAGCATTCCCAAACATGAGACAAAAATAGGCAAGAGATTAGTATATGGGAGAGGGTCTCAGCACTAACTTTGCACAAGATACAAATATGGGGTGATAGACAGCTGTTAGGCCTTCTCTTTTGGAGCATATCAAAAGTGTTAAATTTCCTGAGACATCTAAATATCTAATTGCTGAAAAGTATTGTGCCAGTGGCTAGGACGCTGAAAGCTTTTCTCAGCCCTATGGCTGTAGTGTTTAGAGGGGTATTTAGAAACCATCAAGGTTTGGTGGTTGTGATGTATTCAGGTCCAGCAGGTTTAGGAGATTCAGTCAAGGCAGAAACCATGGCACTTCTACAAGGATTGAGATTAGAACAACAGCATGATCTCAGAAATTTGGAAGTTCAAGATGATTCACAGATAGTAATTCATTGGGCAAAGCACCTTGGAATACAGACATGCATTTAGGGAGATCGATGTGATTGCAAAGAAATTAAATACATGCTTCAGCTGGGTGAAAGGAACTGCAAATGGGGTAGTAGATGCATTAGCTAAACAGGGAGTAAATAGGCAAAGTATTTTCTGGGCACACTTGTAAACAGTGTACTGATGGGGTATTTGAATCTGCCATCAGTTGTATTAAGATGAAATCGTTAATTATTAATGAAATCCTTTTGCTGATAAAAAAAAGTGGCTATTGGAGGAGGGGAAGAAACGTGGAATGAAGAAGATGAAGGTCAAGAGGAAGGTCTAGAGGAGGAGGATTGAGGAGAGAGCTAGTATTGATTAGTGTTCGGTTCCAGAAAGGTGGAGATGCGTGGGAGTCTTTTGAATTGGGGGAAAAAGGTGTTTTTGTTGTCCTCTATTTCAGTCTGTTGGTTTTTGGATGTTGGAGGTCCAGGGTGTTGTTTGTTTTGATTTTGGTAGATGTTTCGAGTGTCCAGTGTTTGTCTTTCTCTCTCAGGCAATTTCTTATCACCTCCCATTGTATTCTTTTTCTTTTATGAATTAAAGTTTATTTTTCAAAAAAAAAAAAGTTTTTGGAAGGATCATGGTGTGAAGATATAGGCCCTTGAAGGTTTTGTTTCCATATCTGTTTTCAATGACTGACAATAAGGAAGCTTCAATAGCTGATACTTCTGTTTTGAAGAGGGAGTCACTCACTTGGACCCCATCCTTGAGAGAAGGAGTTTCAATGATCGGGTGCTGCTACAGGTTGTTGACTTTCTTGCTTTGCTCTAGAGCCAGAGGATTAATTTGTGGGCCTAAGATTCCAGGTGTTGGAAATGGTCTCAATCAGGTTTATTTTCAGGTAAGTCTTTCTATCATGGTCTGATTGGACCTATCAGCTCCTCCTTCCCAAGTAAGGCTATTTAGGGCAATGCTGCCCCCTCAGGGACCAAGTTCTTTACCTGAGCAGTGGCATGGGAGAAAAAGTCTAACCAAAGAATTGTTGGTGAAAAAGGGAGAAAATATTACTGACATGTTATGTCCTTTGTGCAACCTGGAACCCGAGGCATATAGCCACATCTTTCTTCACTGCAGCTTCTCTTCTAGAATCTGGTTGCACTTCACCAAGCCTATTCCCTTCCACTGATACTTCCCCTGTTCTGTTTCAGCTTTATTAGCAGAATGGTGCATCTATGGAATGAACAAAAGAGGCAAATGTTTTATGGTCAGTTGTCCCTTTGGCAATTCTTTGGGATATCTGGCTTGAAAGGAGCTCTAGATTTTTCTTTTCAGAAAAGGAATCTAAGTGGACAGTAATCAATGTAGTTGTTGGGGTGATCACAAGTTGGTTGTCCAGTCTAAATATGTTCAAAGGAAACTATCTCCTACTCTTTTTTGGCCGTTGAGTTTCTTGGGGGTCCTTAATTTCGTTGTCCAGATGTACCATAGCTTGTAGACATCAATTCCTTTAGTTTTTTCTACTTTCATTTAGTCTCTTGTAAGTACACAATGCTATTTCTTGTCCTTTTTGTTGTCTCTACTAATTCTGTACTACTAACTTCTTTATCCATCTTCAGTTCTTCACCCAAGAAGGTACGGGAACCTTTGCTAACTTCTCACCACAACTGATGTCATAGCACATGTTCCAAGGGAACTTGATTTTTTAAATAACCAATAATTAATACCTTGATTTATATGAAATGGAAAATGAGAATAGAGAATAGAAAAAATCACCAACCCAAATGATGAATTCTACATGTTTCTAAAGAATGAGAAATTGAATGAAGCTTAGAAAGGGCTATGCATCTAAAGAAAGAAAGGTATAATTCATAAAGCATCATAATCCTCTCTTTACAGTCTCCCAAAGTCAATCATCATTACATTTAAGATTGCATAGCAGGATTTCATCTATAACGGAAAAATTACTCCTTCATAGTCAACTAGGTAGTTTGTGATGCAATCTGTGAATCTTTATGTATATAGAGTGAAGTTCAAAATGGCATACCCACTGAAAAGCGCCTTCCTGAGTTCCATCCAGAACAGAGACCCACTCTGGTTTTGACTTCAGGGAACTTTTGTCTTCAAGAAAATCCCTGACCTAAGAAACAAAGTATTTTAAACCATGAGTAGGAGTACCTATTCGAGTGTTTATAAGAAAAGGCAATATAAGCATATGCATATACACACTGACACAAGTCATAAAAGCAAAGGGGGAACAACATGAGATTTACCGCTTGCAAAATTCTATCTGAAGCATCACCTTCCAATGCCCTCAGACCTGCCGTTGCCTGAATATGCATTGAAGTCAATCAGAGTGGACAACATGTATGGAAGACTTGCATAGGTTAAATATTTTATAACAGAAAAGTGAAACAAAAGAAAAAAGATATCATAAGTACACACCCCAACTCTGACTGGTGTCTTGTGACGCAACTCTTTAGGAACAACATCTTCTGCTTGCTCCAAAAGAGATAGCAGAGAATCTGCAGCCTTCTGGGGATCATTGGCATATGCACTCAAACCTGGTTTTTTCTGCAACAACAATGAACCATAATGAACATAGTAAAACATGCACGCTAGACATGTACATCATAGGATGGGCCTCATAAATGTTAACATGAAAATGTCTTCATTTATCTCTAATTATGGGGGCTAAAATAAGTGGAGACAGAAAACATTCAGAGAACAGAGCAAGAAGCCAGAAACATAGAAGAAAAAAGAGCATTCTGCTAGGTTGTCTAAATAGAGGAAAAACGTTTTTGATGTTCGTCTTGTCATGAAGCCAAGGCAAGTATCAGCGTTATATGGTAAAGATTTTTAGAAGGAATAAAAGTGTCTATGGTTTAAAACAAATAAATCACCAAAACAAAACCTAGCAGACAAGCCCCAAAAGCAGAAACCTGTAATTGTCTAAACCAGAGCCATCAAAACAGTAGAAAATTAGAAATCAAGGATTAAAGAAACTGAAAGACCTACTGGGAATTATAGTTATGTAGTTCTTTGCAGCATATACTCTGTATTCCAATTCCAATCCCAATAACATGCACAGAATAGGGTCAACCATAGTTATCTGAGAATCTTCTCTAAACCCATTGCATTACAACGAACAAATTCCACTTCCATTTCCAATCCAAACGTAAACCTATTATTTGAATCCAAGTTTAGTTGTTCTAAAGGAGCCAAAGAAGCACTATAATTCCAACCTCAGGACGTCAATCAAAAAGAGCTAATAAACATTCTAATTCTGTGGCGCATAGGACAAACAGATCTGCAAATCCGAATTCCGATTCTAATAGATGGAATCGTACAATCCAATTCGAATTCCATGAACCAGATAGGCCCTTGGAATAGTCATCTGAAAATATCCTCTTTGAAAAAGAAACATTGCATTGCAGCAAATTCCATTTCTATTTCCACTATTTGATCAAAACAGAAGTTACCTGTACGAAGAGCTCGAGATCTTTTCTGATGGGAACGAGATTCAGACTTTCGTCGAAGCAATACACGTGAACTCTGCTACCAGAGCTTCCGGCGTCAAAAATAACCGCATAAGACCGGGATCTCCGGTGCTCAGGGGAGCCCCTACGCCCGAGACGAACATTATCGGATTCGACGGAGATGAGATCATCGGAGGGGGATCGTGGCATGAGGAAGAGAACGAAAGAGATAAGAAGGAGCGGGACAGAGACGACGAGGATGATCCCCCTGTACCTATGCAGCTTGTCGGAGAAGGAATCTTGCTGTCTCGATCGTTTCAGCATCTTCTCCAGTTGGTCTGGATCGGACAGGGGATGGATGTGTGAATCTGCTAAATCGGCGGCTGACGGTGTTCTATACCGGATCCGGCCGTTTCCAGGTGCCTTTAAGGACTGGGCTTCCTGTAGAGGCTCCAGCTCTTCTTCTCTTCCAGTGAACAGATAAAACAAATGAGAGAAGGAATTAATCCAAAGTGTGGTTCGAGATGGTAATGGGGTTAGAGAGAGACGAGTGGAGATGAAGCAATCGTCGCAGGAGTGATGCTCTCTTGCAACGACTGATGGCCAATACCAACGACAAGGTTGGAGGTTGGCCCTTCTGCGTGGAGGTAGAGAGGACTTGGGACTTGGATTCTGCAGTGCTAGCACCAGAATGACGCCGGTGGGATTAATCAGCCAATCAGGATCGAAGATTTTGTTTTAATTTGTTACATATTTATGTAATAGAAATGTATCAATAACGTCCATTAATAACGTAAACGTGTTCTCGGCACATAAAACGCGTAAAGTTGTAAACCAAACGGGAGCCTAATTTGCCACTTGTCAACTAAGTAGAATATGACGAACTACCATCGTATCAATTGAACCCACGGCATACAATTTGAGAGCGGATCTGCTCCTTACAGTATGTCCTGATCGTAAATCGGGAACATCTTCTGTATTTATATTTATTATTCATGGAAGATGTGTTCTCAATGCACGGTGGAATGTGATTGTAAAATCGGTGTGAGACGCACTCATTAATGAGTAGATCCCATTTTATACAATCTTCACTCATCCAAATGTACAATGAAAGACGACTGTACTCTTACGACATGATACCGGAATCACCTGTAACTAGTATCATAAAATTGGTAGCCATGTGCCTATATTTACGGAGCGTTTTGAATGTTATTTTTTTTATCAAATTGTAAATTCATTTTGTTAATAAGATATAAAATCATTTTTCTTTCATTTAATAATGTAAAATATTATTTATTTATGTTTAATTATTTATATATTGAAAACCAAATTCCATTTCAATAATATATTTATATACATGCAATAGATAATAATGACGTATATAAACTGGACGAGCTGATCTAGACCGGACGACCTATACATAAAATGTCAGAAGCTTCGAGATGGTTCTCCGAGGAGGAACACTCAGATGTTTGGGTTAGAAAACGAGTTAGGATGATTGACTAAGCCAAGTTAGAGAGTTCAAACAACAATAGAACCAAAGAGCATGAAAAGCTAGAGTGTGACATAGTGTAAACAAGGTTTATGATAGGTGGTGTGCCCTTAAGTACTAAGTAAGAAGTGCCATTGTGTCCTTCACTTAAAAAATGACACATGTCATGGCAGGATAAAGAACTTGAATACACTGAGGTCAAACACACTATTCCCGGCATAGTGGACTCCATCTAGTGTTCATGATCTAATGGCATATACCAACGTTTGCCTCTGCACCAAATGGGAATGGCCTCAGTGGCCAATGAGATTAGGATGCACAGGGGTTCCCGATTTGGCCAACTGCTATTCTCTGTCATTAAGTCCACGTGGCGATTGATTGAGGCCCAATGATGACTCGAACTGAACCAAACTGATTATATCGGTTTTGGGTTGAATTAACATTTGATCCACTACGTTCATACTTGAGGGAGGAAAGGGTAGGGTACATCGTAGACACCACATTGAGGCTGTAAAGATCAAATGGACCTCCTTTCGGGGACAATGAAATATGACCCTCTTTGTTTTAAGTGATAATACCATTAAAAATAAATGACTTTTTGGAAAACATTGGTCGTTATTAGTTCTTGTTTGATTTGTATTTGTATATATTTGAAGAGATCAGATCTGCTCACAACTAATCATTTCAACTCATATTGAAGTAATGGGTTCTTGACGCTTGTATTATTATAATAGTTAAAGATTTTGGGTATAGTGTCACTTTAGTCCCCAAATTTTAAAATATGATAATTTAGTATTCAAACTTTTAAAACATGCCAATTAAATAGATGCCATTAACTATTCCGTTAATCAGTAGTTAAGTGTCATTTAAAAAAGACATAAATACCCTTCAAGTGTCATATAATTTTTTTTATCAACCATCCAAATATTAACAAAAAAATGAACAGTCCAATATCCTTACCTCTTCTCTTCAAGAAATATGGGGGCACTAGAATGCCAATTGAGATGTAACCCCAACTTTCTTGAACAGAAGAGGCAAGGAATTAAGACTGTTCATTTGTTATCAACATGCGGATGGTTGATAAAAAAATAAAAAAATAGATGACACTTAATGGGCATTTGTGTCTTTTCAAATGTCACTTAATGACTGGTTAATGACAGGTACTAGATTAACACATTTTGAAAGTTTAGGAACTGAATTGTAGCAGTTTAAAGTTTGGGGACCTAAGTGACAATAGGCCCAAAGTATATGGTATTGATTGGAAAATTTCCCTTGAAGATACTAATAATCATTGTTTTAAAAGCTTAAGTCCTAAGGCGAACACAAACTTAAGCCTCACAACTTTGACGTGATGCTTAATCATTTGTCAAAATGAGGCGTAAGCCTCGAGCCTTAAGGCGTAAGGTGTAAAAAGGCGTAAGCCTCAAGTACCAATGATTATTTAGTGAATTAATGCTAAACAAATATTTTTTTTATAATTTAATACATTTAGAAGAACATTTCAATAATTATAGGCTAAATAAAATAGTAAAGGAGAAAAAAGCCAATGAGACAAATCAAATTCTATTAGTTTTCATAGTGTTTTAAGAGAGTTCAATGCAAAAATGACTAATCAAGTTCTTAGTTTCCTTTGAATAAATCAAATGAGATTTTTCTTATTACTCTAAATGTAATGTCCTAGGTTTTGTTATTTTTCTCATTTATTCTACTAATGGATCCTATTTTCTTAATTATTATTCTTATTATTATAGATCAAATAAACTAAGTGGTTTCTTTTATTCTAAATTGGTTTTTGTTACATGAAATGTAAAGTTTACAATTGTTAGTTTATTAGTTATTATTTTTTTAATGCTTAAATGCCAAAACTTATTGTTTATAAACTTCCAGTTTATGGATATGTGTGCTTTATATCATTTTAATTTGACATATTGTGTTACTTTCATCATTTTATAAACTTTAATTAATTACTTTCCTTAATTAATTTATAAACTTTAATTAAACTCTTTATGCCGTGCAACACTTTGAGGCTTACGCCTCACCTTTTTGGGTCATTATGCCTCAACTAGGCATTTAAATCAAAGGGTTGTTATTTTCTTATTTCGAATGAAGCAGTTTTGGTAGTCTATTATGAAAATTTAAAACACATCGAAGGATAAAAGTGTATTTTTGATGATTTTTGTCAAATATAATGGCATTTTATATGAACAGGGGAGGTTTAAGTCCTATTAAAACCTACGGGAAAGATATAGTTATTTATGAGAAAACTCAAGAAAAGTAAGGGTCTGTTTGGTTCAAGGGAATAGAAGCCTGGAATTGGAATCGGAATGACCCATTCCCATTTCAAGTGTTTGGTTGACCGGAATGGGAATCCATCGTATGGGAGAATGAGCATTCTTGACCCCCCTAAGGAATGGGATTTCCATTCCAGTTTTATAAATTATTATTATTTTTTTTAGGGTCTATTTGGTTTGCAATCGAAATTAGAATGGTCCATTCCCATAGTTTGTTTGATTCAGACAATAATGGAAATGGGAATTAAAATCAACAGGAATGAGATTTCATTCCCAAGGGAAGGGCAGGGAATGGCCATTCCCTCAAATGGGGGAATGTCATTCCAGTAGGAATGGAAATGGGATTCCGATTCTACTCAACCAAACAGTTGGAATTGAAATAGTCCATTCCGATTCCGATTCTAGACACTATTCCCGCAAACCAAACGGACCCTTACAAGAATACCCCCCTTCATTCCCAACCCTAGTCAAACGAAGAGCCATCACCGAACAGAGACTGCGAGCAGTGTAGAACTCTAAACCATCTGTCGTCGCCAAAATAACGTCTCGCGAGGTAAGACAACTGCTGAATCATTCTCCTCCTCTTCCTCCTCCTCCTCGTTCTAAATCAACCGCCCATGCTCTGATCTGGGATCTAATTGCTTTGGTTTCATATGTAATCCAATCTTCATTGAAGACGAATCATTTTCAATAAAGGTACGTGTTGTTTAAGATCCTTATAATCATTTTCAACAAAGGTACGTATTGTTTAAGATCCGTATAAAATGTACCATTATAGTCTTTTTCTTTTGCACAATAGCTGCACCATTATACTTTGTGTTTTATTTGTTTGTTCTTCTTTTCAAATTTAGCTTTGACATTGTTTTAGTCCTGACATAAAAGAATTGCATAGTATTTTCTTGTTAAGTTGCAAATATTTGCATCAATTTTGTGTTGGAGATATCCAGATATTTGCAAAAATATGAGAAGTGTAGGAGAGTCCAGAAGCCGGAGGTGATTTTTTGAAACTAAGGATGACGTAGAGAATTTTATTAGGTTGGTTTGTAATGTCGTTGAGAAAGATGTGGTGGTCGTGGTGGATCCATGGGTGTCTAGGGGTATAGGTTGGAAGAAGACTAAAATGGGATTCTTGGCAGCACTGATTAATAATGGTAATTCAAAAGGGGTCAGCAATTGCAGGAAGGTTGACAAGGGTACCTCAAAAAGCAATTATTTTATTTATTAATATATTATATATTATTATATAATTATAATTTATATAATATATTATATATAAATATATAAATATAATATATATAAATAATATATATGGATCATACTGAGATCGTACTGCAGACTCAATACGACCCATATGATCATGCCAAACTTAGCACAAGTCACAGACCGTCATATTAAGCCAATCTAAATTCATCTTAGGCCACGAGCGGTACGACCTGATTCACAGATTTAAGGGTCAACCGATTGATTGGTAAAGACGTAAAGTCTCTTACTCATTATAGCGGAGACTTACGGTGGAATCCCATCTGGGTTGGGGAGGGGTTACCCTTGTTGTGTATTTGTGTAGCCTCTTGGATCAATCCAACAACTATTCAAGGTTCCTATCAGATAACTCGTATGTCTGTTTGCCTCTACACGTAACACATGAATACAATTCATCGTGCGAAGAGAATATCATCTCTCTCAGTTCGGTACGAGTTCAGCTTCTCAGTTAGGGTAATGCCGGTTCGAGCATATTTTACTGTCTTGCATTGAGAATATTTTTATATTTTTATTTACGTTTTATTTTATGAAGAAATATTTCCGATGCAAAGGTGAAAACGACTGTTAGAAGGGTGTGGGCACAGCTTTGCTATGATAGAAGCCGATCTCGTGACAGTAACGTGATACGCACAGAAAAAACCCTGATGGACACGAGAACCCGCCAATCAAATGCGACCACGTCGGCTTATGCGAGCAAAGTATAACGTTAACGGACCTTTAACTGTTAGCTTAAACCGGACACAAAAGGACGAAAACAATGAAGCAAACTTTCGATCTTCCCTCCCATTTTGGTTCTCTTCCACCGAACCCTAGCCTAGCCCATCTACCGGCGATCTCACTTCACATTGGTGTGCGTGAATGCGGAAGCCACCGGCGGTGAGAGGGAAATTAGCCGGCGGTCATTATCGTAGCCCAAGCCCTACCCTGTTACCAAATCATCGGCGAACAACACCAACCGACATCTGGCAGCGAAGACTCAACTAGCGACCAACGATAAGCTCCTCCTACTGTTCTTCCTTTTCGGCTTCTTCCCTGCAAGCTCCTCTTCCCCCTCTGTATTCCATGTTACATATTTACTTGTTAATTGTTGCGGGTGTGTGGAACGTGGTTTTGTGACTGAGGAAGTCAAGTGAAGAACCCCATCACCAAGTGCTTACTTCGGGTGTGGTTTTGCGCCAAGTTCTGAACTATCATTCTCTCTGTTCTCAATTAATGTGTAGTGTGCATTATCAAACAGAAACTAGATGGAGAGAAAGCTACCCATTTTGTCTGTAATTAGCTTTTTACATCAGTCTCCAGTTTTATGTCTGTAATCAGCTCAGAAACTAGAAGGAGAGAAAGCTACCCACTTTGTCATAGTTTGGTTCTAAGAATTTTTCAATGCTCTTATCCTTGATTTCATATGAGAGATTGAAGTAAAATGTTATCTTCCTCCATCATGCAGAACAAACAAGGAATTTTACTCCACAAAACAATTATGTCATTCAATGACAGAAAGAAGACTCAGAATTTAGATTATTACCTGACTTCTTTATATATGGACTCCCAGAAATGATAGTGTAATAAATTTTCTCTAAAATCTGTCCATGTAACAAGTAGCTAAATGTATCACATTTTCAACAAATGAAATTGAGTTGTTAAACATGAAAGATGGCAGCATATATCATTAATCAATTTTTTTATTAGCAATAAAATATCATTAATTCTATTAATATGTGAAAATAAAAGTTACGCGGACCCCAGATTAGTGGAGTCGTCTCCTCAGTTCCGCTTACAATTCCTATTCCCGTTGTCCAATCATTTCCCTAAGAAGAGAAACCACTCTAATTTGTAACCTAAAAAGAAAGAAACCTCTCATCTGTACTAATTTGCGGGTACGTTGTGCCTTTTCTAATATTAGTAAATCTTCCAGCATCGCAGATACACATGAATCCCGACTCGCAACAGCATTTTGTGTACGGAAGAAGCGACCAAGAACCGTCTCCAGCATTGACGGCGAAGTCACCTCAAGAGGATGAGTCATCGGTAGTCACCCTTCTAGTAAGGCACCTCCCGGAGGCCATCCCTCCCGATACCCTTTCTCGCCTTTTCTCACATTATGGGGCCTTCTCTGTCCGCCCCTGCGCCGGTGGAAGGTATGCTCTTTCTCTCTCCCTTCATTCTTGGTAGTTTCAATCACCCCCAAATAAGTAATCGGCTAACTATGAACAAGGTTTGATGTTACTGCATTGTACGATATATGTCTACTGTTAACCAATTTTAGAGTTATTCACAAAAGAAAGAAAAAAGACTAGTTAATAATATGCATTTCCTTGGCTAGTTTCGGATATCGTGGATGTGGGGAATATTATTTTGTTGCTTGTGGTGTTAATTTTATTTGTAGGGAAAATTAGAAGAAAACAAGCTGGTGAACCCATGGTATATTTTAGTTAAAAATTTGCATTTTATTTCATGCGTTTTATCAGGAAAGGTAGCAAGTCTATGGAGATATATGACATGTTAGGGATTCCTTGTGTCGTGGAAAGTACTTTTTCTTTGGGAGCTATCATGTACTTACTAACTAGCTATAGAAGTGATGCTCTCAACATTTCTCAACTCAACTCCGCATAACCTTGTCTCAACTATATGGGTTTGGCTCCACGAATCCTGTTCTGTTACTCCGCTTTGTTCAATGGGTCTATAGGTGGGAAATTTTTTCAAGAGGATTTGTATTTTCACATTGTGTACCTAGTATTGCAATACTGGATGAGTGGGGAAAAAGAAGAAACTAATAACACCATTTGTTGCTCTAGTGGCAAACGCTTATTTCTAACTTTAAGATTTGGTTAATTTCTCTCTTTTTAGATATGGTCATGCTATAATATGCTTTACCAAAAAATTAAAAAAGCTTTTTACAACAATATAAAAAGCAAGGTTTAAAATGTCGATGTCGGTGGAAATGTTTGTCATCCAAATATAAGAAACATGTTGGAAATGTCGGAAACATCGTATGGAAATATTGTATGCAAAATATAGAATGATATTTTATGAAATGATAAAAGAGAGCATAGGCACATCCTTTTAAATTATTATCTTGTTCCAAATCACTAAACAAAGCTAACTAAGGTTATAGACAAAATAATATGTTCAGGAGTTGCCTTGTAAACCTTAAGAGTTAGAGCTTCATGATAGAATGAGTTAAAGCAAAATTTAAACTAACAGAAAATGTAAATGGTTGTAATTGATCAACCAAATAATCTATATACAAAGAAAAACTAATATTTAACTTCATGCTTGAAATGAGTATTTAGCTAGCTCAAAGTGGTAATTATGTAAGTTAAGTGGGTGATAACATTGTTTTTTTTTGATAATTGAAATGATTTTATAAATCAACAATAAAATAGTACAAAGTCCTCATGGAAAGGTACGAGTTGCAACCTCTCCAGGCTAGTTAAGTACAAATTTCCGAATTAATAACAACTTACATAGAAGCACAAAAAAGATCTTCCCTATATACCCCCTGTTTGGATAGAGCATCAGCCAAAGAATTAGCAGACGTACTAACCCATTTTACCTCAACTCTCATATTGATGGTTAACCACTTTACTTTTTTGATGAGATCTTTGTAGCCCCAAATGGTGGTATCCAAGTTTAGGAGTCACCTGGTTACCACCTGAGAGTCCCCTTCAACTAGGAGATGCTCCACCCTAAGCTGGTTGTCGATCTGAATTCCTTGTACTGCAACAAGTATTTCTGCCCTTGTGGAATCCCCCACTCCCACCGGTCCTGAGAATAGGGAAATTATGTTGCTGTCCTTATTTCTCAGGATACCCCCTATACCTGAAGGCCCGGGATTGCC